AGATCGCGAGCTAAAAAATCACAAGGTATGAGAGCTAGAATGTGCTTACTCACCCCTCCTGTGTCATTCGGGTTAGTGCCTTTATATAGGCATTGTTTGGTGTGGGCCTCACGCACCGCACCCGAAATTTCTAGGAGGTCGTGCCCAATTAGTCCGAAATCCTCGAAGGTAACTACCATGCATGTTGACCATCCTCCAAAACATTAGGTACATAGGCCAACTTCCAAGAAACCTAGGAGCATTAGGATATACATGCCAAATTTGTCGACGAGCACATCTCGCAGGTCACCGCCTGGTCCCCAGTCAGGTCGGCAAGCCCTCGAGGGTGGTCGCTCTCATGTCGATGTCACTTTGGTCGGTGACGAAGTGCTACAAGCTGACCCTGGATGAGGTGCTGCAAGCCGACCTAAGTTGTGGTCGAAGTCGCCAGGTCAGTGGTAAAGGGAGGTCACCAGGTCGGGGTAAAGACGAGCTACGATCTGGAACTCCAAATCATCACTTAGGTGGTGTTTAGGTGTCATCTAGTCATTCTGTGATGCCATGCGTCACAACGTGACTGGAGGGCCAAATCCGCCCTCATCAGCAGAGATTCATCAATATTCCCTAACTTTAATCGAGCCGAGGGGTCTTTACATTTTATCCAAAATATTTAAACACGCAAACTCAAAATATTCTTCCATTAACGGCCATAACTTTAACTAGATCATGAATACTTGGCCCGAAAGAAATGAAAAGGAAAAAGAGAAAGAATAGAGATCTGAAGAAGAAAAAAGAAAAATAGTAAGATGGAGATCTAAGTCCAACCCAACCTTCAATCATAGTTAGATAAAACCCTAATTTAAGCCCATGGTTCAAGAACCCAAAGTTTAGGATTCAATTGAAAGAGGAACACATCGTCAAAGACCTGAAAAATGATGAAAAGATATCCCAGGGTTCAATCCCATAGAAAACACAATCCAAATCTCTCGAAAGCATATATGAGAAGACGATGGCACCAGTGCCCATGCCGTGTGGGTGGTCGATGGCGTTTTCCATGCAATGAAGAAGGGTAAAATTTGTATTAAAAAAAGATCAATGCATCAATTGACGTTTTTCGTTTGGGTCATTGACAGAGTGGATGTTTTTGTTGAGTTTCTCAAAAGTTCAAGGGAGATATTTGTTACTACGAAACCATAGGGGAGGTATGTATGATTATCAGAAACTTCGGGGGAAAGTTTTTATATTTTACCCTAATATTTAAATAATTCTTAATTTTTTTAATTCAAACTTCATTTTGATAGATGAAAAGTGGGGGGGATGGGATGAATAGGAATTAGATATAATTTAGGAAAGAAACTCTCTATTAAATTAGAGATAATTAAGAATTATATAAATTTAACAGATAAATAAGAATTATAGATAATTTAGGAGAAAGTGGGGGATAGTGGTGCTCGCTATATTAGATTAGCTTTTGGTAGAGAGATTTTAGGAATAATTTTAGGAAGGGATATCCAAAGAGATAAACATAGAGATTTTAAGAATAATTTTAGGAGAAAGTGGAGGATAGTGGTGCCACTTTGCTAAATTATATTAGCTTTTGGTAGAGAGATTTTAGGAATAATTTTAGGAAGGGATATCCAAAGGGATAAACATAGAGGAAAGAGGGATGGACCAAGTATGCTAAGATGTCAAAATGAGAGGGAAAAGGGAATCATGAGGTGGCTTCATGGGAGAACAATGAAGGATAAAATGAAGAAGGGTTGAGAGTTCCCAATTGGGGTAAGGGAGAAAGCTCACGCCATCTAGAGTGGCATGTTTCTACTTTACTATATGTAGATATAGACTTAAAAAAAAAAATCAATGTATAGGCCTCGGTTGAGAATTTATTAAATTTTGATTGAGCCCAGCATGAGGGCTTTGGCCGATGCAATGAAAATTCATTAAACCAGGTGAGTCCAGATCAGCTGCTTACAACTTCTCGCACCACCTTCACCACTGGATAGCCGCTGCCATCTCCCCTTCTCACTCCTATTTTCCCTCTCCCAATTCAACCTCAGCTCATTGTCCCCAGATACTGCAACCTCCTCTCCTGGGGCTCTTTATTCCAGTCTCTCCATCCAACTCGATCTCTTTCACCCTCTCATCCCCTGTTGCTGCCACCATTTTACATCTAACCACACCAATCCTTCCCCCACACTGCACCGTCTCATCTAAAATCTCCTTCCCGTCATATTATTTACAATTCTATACTTAGCCCATATTAATCAGTCTTGTAGAACCAAATATGATTCTTTTCTACAGTCCTTCCACAGCAGTTGCACATTAGAATTATACCTTGGATTAAGGGTTTGTTTATCCAAGAAATGAGTGCTCTAACAGCCATCATCCAGGTGTACCAACGGAACCGAGCCCAATAACTATTTTGAAAAACAAAGCACTTTGAAAAGCAATTAACTTCGCTGCATGGTTTTCAAAACCGGACCAGACCAAACAGTTGGACCGGAAAACCAGGAACCGATCACATGACTGGTTCCATTTTACCCAAAACCAAGGTTCAAAGTATCATTACGTATCAGCCCATATCGGCCGATACATATCATCCCGGGGCCCTTCCGATACACCCCTACAGTGGGTGTATCGGGGGTCTAACCGGTTCAGGGGATGGAGGGGTCTTAGACCGGCTCCCCTGAACCAGTTTAAAAATAAATAAAAAAAAGGTAAAAAACAAGTATCAAAACACCCGATACGCCCCTACCAACGTATCGGGCATATCGATATTTTAAACCTTGCTCAGAACTGTCTTTTGGCCAAAAACCGTTGATTTGGTCAGAAAAACATTGACCCAGGCAATCAAACCCTTCAAACCATTCGAACCATTTGTTTTTTTTTTGTCAGAACGGACTTTCCATTCAGTTCAAATAGTCAGACCATTCGACCCAGGAACCGGACCTCTGAATGGTTCATTGTCCAATTCGGTTTTAAAAACCTTGCTTGGACTTCTACACAAAGTTGGTACAGATGGAAGGTCCATGTTGATAACCAGCAATGGATGTAGTATGACTCCTTCCATCATTCAGTCAAAGAAAATACAGAAAAATGCAGGTTTCTGATTTACACTCTATGCACCCATGCCAGCTCGTGAATTGGCATCAATTCCGAACTGGCACTTACCCCGACCGTATTTTGAACCTACAAATTCTGACACGGGTTATCGGTCATTCTCCCAAAAAGAAAAATGCTACATGGTATGTGCACATCATGTGCATCTCTAAAACTGTAAAACGCACGTATCCTACATTATGAGACAATTTTGCCCTTTACCCAGTTATATTATTAGGGTACATTCGATTTGCAGTCAGAATTGGAATGGAAACCCATTGGAATCAGAATCAGAATGGTCTATTCTTCCTGCCTGTTTGGTTCAGACAGAAAACGGAATTGAATTCGAAATCAGCTGGCATGGATTCTCATTCCCAAGGGAGGGAGAAGGGATGGCCATTCCCTAAAATAGAGGAATGGCATTCCACCAGGAATAGGAATGGGATTCCAATTCCATCCAACCCAATGGTTAGAATCAGAATGGACCATTCTGATTCTAATTCCAGACCCCTATTTCCTCAAACAAAACGGACCCTTAAGAGATATGGGTCATCAAGATCTTTTAATCAAAGATCAAAACCATTCAAGTGTAACGCCTCAAATAAATCAACCATCATGAAAACCCAAGTGATAAGAAAAGGTTTCAACTAATCTATGCCTTGAAAGCATCGATTAGAGTGGGGTGTATTTAGATGGTAATCGATTAGAGTGATAAGAAAAGGTTTCAACTAATCATGTAGATAGCAGAAATTATGGTTATCATGGAAGGTGCAAAGAGAAAAAGAATTGAATATACAGAAATTGATAATAGAAAGGGGATTCAAAGATGGTAATCGGAAGGCTGATGAATTATGAAGAAGCTCTAAGGATGCAGGAATGAAATCAAAAGGGCTAGATGAATGACAAGCAGAATGACAGTAGTAGTGTAGTGGGTCCATGAAGGTGCAAAGAGAAAAAGAATTGAATATACAGAAATTGATAATAGAAAGAGGATTCAAAGATGGTGATCGGAAGGCTGATGAATTATGAAGAAGCTCTAAGGATGCAGGAATGAAATCAAAAGGACTAGATGGATGACAAGCAGAATGACAGTTGTAGTGCAGTGGGTCCATAACCATATGGCTGACACTTTGCCTAAACAAGGGGCTACATGTTCTGGGAAAAGTTTTAACTATAAAAATGGGAAGAGGTCAGGGCCTCTCCAAAGGAAGATTGTAATTCAGATTGTAAATTTGTATATTTTAATATTAATGAAATTCCTGTTACTTATCAAAAAAACACTTTGCCATTAAAGCAGATGAAATTAAAGATGCAATCCATCAAGGTGGTAATCTAATATGATTCAAGTATTCTCTGTCCTTAATGCCCCCAAGTTTATAAAATAAGAGAGAAAGTTGAGGGAAAGTTCTTAAGGAATTTCATAAATTTTTTAAGAACTTTTCCCCAACTTTCTGTTTCTCTCTTATTTTCTATCAAACCAAACATAGATTAAGAGTAACAAGTTAATCTTAGCCATCAAAGTATTATATTTAAATTAACCTTGTACAAAAGGAATTGATTGAGAAGAGACTACCAGTTCTGCATTCCAGAACTCATTGAGAAGCATGCCCATGTAGATAGTTCTTGTACAAAAGGAAGGAACCACAATGAGATGAGCCTACCAGGTCATAAAGGACATCGCATATGGTCTTAAAAACAGGGTCATCTTTTTATTTTCTAACCAAACTGAACCTGATCTGCCATGAGAAATTAACACTTGCTTTTGAGCACCAAAACCTTCATTTGGGTTTTTTATTGGTATTCCTTTGGGTAAATATTGTTCTTAGGAGTTGTTGGAATTTGGAAATGAGCTCTGATGTGTAAAAGAAGGATAATATTATTCATTAGATCCATGTAATTAGAAAGAAACAAAAAACTGCTAATAAAATCAATAATATAGCAATCCACCTTCACTTTACTTCAGAAAACATCCTCAAGAAGGAATCAAGAGTCTATGACCAAAAGAAATTACTCTGACAAAGCAATATGTGAAGTTTGAATTCTTCATGTTAGTGAATATTAAAACTAGAGAAAGCATTTCCAATGCCAAAAACGAAGAGCTAAAATGGGAAGTATCTAGATAATTACCTTGGTCAAGCGAAGTTTGTGCCGTTTAGATTTCAATCTTTAGCAACAAGTGAAGTTATAGTTTTGCCAAAACATTTTAGGTCTTATTGGCTACATCAAGAAGAACTGCACACTTATAGGGACTTTGAGTGCCTTGCAGTCATTTCAATCATCTGAGTCACTTGCAGATAAGCCATCACATAAAGAACTGACAGAGAAGGATAACACTTAAGTACTAGAAGCCTTTTCAGTAGCAGACTCCTCGTTGCCTCCCAAATCAAGACCCATCTCAAGCTTCTTCCATGCATTTAAAAAATTAGGAGGAAACTTCTTCTTCACCGTCTTGATTAATCTTTTTGCCTCTTTCAATTTGGAATTCTTCACCAGCCCTTCGACCAAAGGTTTCATTGTCCCAAAATCCGGAATCTTGTCCCTCCTTACACTATCTTCGTAAACCTCGAAACCCCTACCAAAATCCCCATTCCTACATAGATAATATATATAAGTCCTAAAAGTTGCAGCATTTGGAAGACACCCATTTCCCTCCAGACCCTCATAAACTTTCTTAGCATCTTCAAGCATGTCATTCTTACAGTAACAAGTAAGCAGGTAATTGTAACTGATAGTGTCAGGCTTCAGTCCAGCTGAGCTCATCTCACCAATCAATGCCAGTACAGCCTCTGGTTTCCCATGGTGAACATGCATTATCCGTACATTATAAGCCGTGGTATCTGGAGAACAACCCTTCGCAACCATTTCATCCCAGATTTGTTCGGCTTCTTCTGTCTTCCCCTTTTTATAAAGAGCATCTAAGATTGTTGTATAAGTAACTGCAGTAACTTCAACATCTTTCTCTTTCATTTCTTTAAGAATCTTAAAAGTCGACTCGGGTAAGTCGGACTCGCATAACGATTTGATCAAGATACCATAAGAAATTTTGTCTGGAGAAATACCATACTTTTGTGAGATTTCAGAAAAAAGTTTGGGTACCTGATCGAATTTCTTGGACTGGTTACAGGCTGACAGGAGAGCATTGAAGGAGATCGCTGACCTCGGGGTGCCAAGCGCGTTCATCTGATTGAACGTTTGGAGTGCATGATCAAACATACCCGCTCGACCATAGGATCTAATTAAGGTGGAAAGGAAGGGTTCTTGGGTGATTTTAGGGTCTTTCTTGTGAGATTCGATTAGTTTTTCAATGTCGGAAAAACGACGAGATTTGGCAAGGCGCTTGACGGTGAGGTCTTGAGCGTACCGAGAGGAGACCGGAGAGCTGTAGCGGTCGGAGACAGAGGAGTATATAGCAAGGGCTTTGTCTGGGTCGTGCTCTGATCGGAGTCTTGCTTTTGCCGCAGAAATGGATATTGCAGAGGAGGTAGAGAAGCGACGGACATGGCGTATGGAGGACAAAGAAGACATTTTTTTTTGGCGTTCTACGGTTTCGTTCTATCTCGCTATGGTTTTTGTTACCTTTTAGGGTTTTGCAGTTGAGCGGGTAGGGGGTTCAGTACTGTTTAGGGTTTCGCCCCTCACTTCCCCATTTTGGCTGATATTTCAGATTTCATATTTGTGCTCCCACAGACCACAGTCGCAGACTCACGGCTGCGTAGGCTGACTTTCCTGGAGCACCGTTTCGAAATGCTTACGATTTACGAGTCATAGAAGTAGGAGATCTGTTAATGGGCTAGCCCAATAGCCCAGTCCATGAAAAGCCCGCTAGGGCGCTAGGCCCCGTGTTCTTTTGCCGGACTCTGCTATTGGGCATGTCAACATCTTCCCAAGATTCACCATGACTGTCTCTTAAAATTCATGGTTACTTTTCAAAACCTCCAAAAATAGTCTAGACTCAAGGGTGTCAATGGATCGGTTTTGGATTGGACCCCGTCCGATCCAAAAATCAATTTGGTCGGATTAAACAGAGCCATAAGATATATTAGATTGGATTAATTCGGTCCAAAATATTTATTAGATTAGATTGGACCAGGCCCATCCATAATAAATTTATATTAGATTGGGTTGGATTAAGCCAATATCTGGTCCATTGATATAATATAATAATATAAGTGTGAATGGATCGGGTTTGGGTTGAAAGCAAGGTCCAGACATTGAATTGGACCGGTCCAAAATATTCATTGGATTGAATTGGATCCGGTCCATCTATAATGGACTCGTGTTGGACTGGATCAGATTGGACCAAATCCCATCCAATTGACACCCCTATCTAGACTCCAGATCACCCACTAACAAAATAAGTTCCAATACCCTACCAACATGATCTGACACCACATATCTTATACATGATGGGTTTCATTTTATGGTGGGTCCCAGTCTTATGGTGAGATGTGCGGTGTTAGATCTTGTTGGAGATCCCAACTCCTTCATGAAGCCCCCCCCCCTATCATTAAGTTTTATTGTTTCAGATTCATCCATCCATTAGATCATCATTAGTGACCATTAATATAAGTTGTTCATATAAGCATTTAAGTATTTTACATGACCAATTGCCCCTAAATGGCCAATAAAACTTATTAAATATTTTTATGACAAAATTACCCCTGATTGGGGCTTGGGCCCATACTAGGCTCTCAAATTTTAGAATTGGGCCTGGACCGAATACTTCAAGTTCGACCTAGGCCTGAAGTATTATTTAATAAGGTTGACTAGCCATTTTAAGGATAGTTTGATCATATAAAATACTTAAATGGTCACTAGCAAACATCTAACGAAAATCTAACAAAATGTGGGTTTTGTACAATAAAGCACACTGACAAAGGGCTCCCTATAGATTTTAAAAAGTCATGGTGAGTTTTAGATAATATCCCTACATAAATTCATGAGGAGATTTTCCCACATGCAATTGAATTCATACATGCTTACAAATTGTGAGCAGAGTTTTAGCTTTAAGGGAATCCCTTTGCCTATTATCAATCATGCCTACGAATTGATAAATAGATGTTTAAGACTGGGACCCACTATAATATTAGCACCCACCATGTCTAAGATGTGCAAAGATAGATCATATTCGAGCATGTTGGAAAAAGTTTTTTGTTGTGAGTTGAGCCCCTTGAATAATGAATAGTCTTGTTGTTGCTCTCCACCATTGTTTGAATGTCATTTATATTTAAGCTTCTTCGCCAAGGTGGATGTTGCTTCTTTTTTATGTGGTTTATGCATGGGTGATCATCTTCAACCTAACCCAGCCCAGAAATTCCGGGCTTGGGCTTGGACTTGGGTTTTGTGTTTGGCCCGACTCATATATATTTATATTTGTATTATTTATACATATAAATGTGTTATTTGATGTTATGTTTTATATTTTATAAATAAATATATAATATGACACTTATAATATATATAAATATATTTCATGCTACAAATATATAAAATAGTTTTTATACACACATATATATATATATGATAATATAAAATATTGCATGTATTCAATATTTTACACATAAAATTCATGGGTATAGACTTTCCCATGATCACCCCTAAGTCTATGGTAAGTCGAGAGAGAGTGGCCTTCAACTACTACAATGTTGTTATGCTACATCCCTCTATGCTCAATTTGGAATGAGTATTAAATACAAATATGCAGTGAAAAACCTTATATTTTGTATTGTACATATTTATATGTGTACTCTTTCCAATCGATGTATTTGTTTCTTTTCCTTTCAAGTTTTGCAATTTGCTTATCTTTGCTGACATTCTCATAATTACAATTACTCTAGTTATTGAGAACTTGTAGATATTTATTTTGTCTTATTTTTCTCTGGATCTACAAGATACAGGACCATTTAATGGAGTTATTGAGCTCTAATATCACTAACCCTACTAACTACACTGTCTTTACTTAATCACTTTAAATTTATTATAATAATTTCTTTAATTATTATTTCTTATTTACTGTTCAACTATATTTACATTTTAGCAGATAATTTGTCCTTGAAATTCTGATAGCACCTAATCACTACTTGAATCTCAAGTTGATTTTACTTGGATAGTTGGTCCTTCTCTCACCTATCATATTGTAGAAGGTCCTCTATGCTACTAATTAGTGATTACTCCTCTCTCTCTCTCCAACTGCTTAGGCACACACCACCATGTGCAACTACATTTAAGCTTATTATTTATTTATTTTTATTTGTTTTTTTTCAACAATTATTTATATTCATTTGTTTAATTGTAAAACCACTAACCAGATAGCTAGTTTCAAATCTTAACTATTATATTCATTCTTCAGTTGTTATCTCCTTGTTAGCAGTCATTATTATTATTGTTCTTATTTGTTGATTGCTAATCCATATAGCTACTGCTATCTTTTCTTTTTCTTTTCTTTTTTTTTTTTGTAGCTACAATTTCTTTTGTTTAGCAATTACATTAATCAAAGAGTAACATCTTGATTAAATCCTAAACCAAACTGATTAAGCCTAATCTTTCGCTGCATCTTGATATTCATTGTCAAGAAGGCTTAGCTTCACTTTGAGGGGAAGTGCTTTAAGCTTGATTATCTACAATCATGGAGTTCAAAATTGAATAAAGATCTAACCAATTCAGCCCCAAGCCATTAGTCCCAACAAAGGAAGCTTTTCTCACTCTCTCCTTCCTAATATATATGATCCATGTTAACCTAATATTCTCATCTAATGGTTAAGATGTTAAATCTATATATAAATTAAATAAACCATTTTGACCTACTCGGGCCAAACAGTTGAACTGATAACCCAAGAAACCAGATAGAAAAGCGGATCCGTTTCTGGTTCGATTTTTAAAGCCATGATCCACAAAATCCTATTCCTCCAATGCTTCATTCTCCATCCACTCATCAATTGCCCTTTTACGGCTTCTCCAAAAGGTAATTAATTGCCTTTTGTAGGCTTTTAAAGGATTTCTCCTTGTATAGTGTTGTTATCCATATCTCTCAATGGTTACAAGTGAAAGTAATTGAATTGATTACTAGTACATAGATATAATCATTAGTTGACAATATGACCAAATAAAGAAATTAACTAGTTTGATATTGATGAATTGTTGCAAACCTGTAGTTATGAGGGAACGACTTTGAACATACTAAAATGGTATCAGACATGATCGTAAGTGAAATTGAAAGACAACTAATTGAATCAGCTAAATCTAGTTTATTTCCTAGAACTTTGTATTAAAGATGCCTCAAGACCAAAAAAAAAAAAAAACTCCGTACTAGGATGGTGGGCACATGATGTTTGATGATTCTCATTTTATTTATTACTAGCGGGGGCTTGTGTGATGCACGGGATGGGGCACCCTTCTTTGTCCCTCACCTCCGTAAGTTAAGACACTACTTCATCCCGCTCCAGTTCAGGTAGCGGGGCGGGTCTGGGGTGACAATTTGAGAATATTTTATAAATGAAATTATGAGAACCTAGGACTATAAGAATATGATGAAAACTTAAAGATAATTTAAAAATTAATATTAAATCAATGGATATTTACTAATTTACCATCAGCTTCGGGGAATTATATGCAAACCACATCCCTAATTTGGGACAAAAATATTTTCCTTGTCCCCATCCCATCCAAGTTTAAGATTTGAAAAAGCTTGCCCTGTTTGGGGCATGGCAGGGTAGGGCCCCAATTTCACAGGGAAAATTGTCACCCCTACAATTCTAATAATTTTCTATAATTAATTAACTAACAGCAAATTAAATAACAATAAATTAAAATATTTTATGATAATTTCCAAAAAATTATTGAAACTGCTATTGATTAGTAGTATTGTATAGTAAATTAATCATTTACAATAACAATAAACGAATGCAAATTATTTACTTTTGAAGCCTAAATTAGTTACTATTAATCAAAGTAAAAGTAATTATAGTAAATTAATGTAATTATGGTAAATTACATTATTTTTAATTAAAAGTAAATCATTTGTTGTTAATTAATGTAAAACCAGGTATGATCAAAGTCAACCAAGTGGTCCAAATCGGTGTGGATAGACTTAATAATTTTTCTAAATTATTTATTGAATTAATAATGGATTTTTATTTAAATAATTATGAAAAATTTTTTGATAGATTAATTTCCTAATTTTTTAATAATTATTTAGTTGATTAATAATAATGGATTATTATTTAGTTGAGAAGGTTGTCCCCTATTTATACTTGAGGTTGCCTAGAGGTAGGCAGGTGCGGACGACAAGGATGTGGCCCGGCCCTAAGCAGCACTGTCATCTAGGATCGCTGCGTGCGGTAGTGCCTTTGGTTATGGGTTGTGCGCCGACCTCTACTCTGCATGCACCCTCATTGAGTTTGTCCCGCATGCCACCGTCTGCCACGTGTGTGCATGCCATAGATCTAGGTTGTATGCACCTACATCATTTGCCCCCACTCTCGAGGCCATGGTGGAGGTCTTAGTTGAGGACCTCGGCTTCGCCGAAGAGAGTGTCATCCTTGTTGGGAGGCATCGAGTGGCCTTTCTTGACGAGGATCTCGGTTTCAGCTTTGGAGGTGTAGGGGATAGCCCATTTCTAGAGCGTTGAGACGTAAGCTCTCGCTTGGGCTTCATTGGAGGTAGTTCGATTCGTGAGCGTGTGGACATCATCCTCAACTTCAGAGGGCTTCTGCTGTCTTTGTGGCGGCT